CCTTTTTTTTTTTTTTTTTTTTGATAGTCTCATTAAATTGCTCAGGTGTCTCAATCTGGTTATCTTCCTGCATCAGCCTTCCTTAGTGATGGGATCACAGGTATGCAATACCACACTCAGCAGGCACTAGCTGAAATGTGAAAAGAGATTGTGACTGCTGCCTTCTGACTGGGAGGAAATAAGAGCAGAGGGCCAGAGAGCAGGACCTGAAAATGGAAATTTAGAAAATAACGGCAAACAATCACAGCAGAAAAGCTAGTGAGCAAAAAACAACCAAATCTTAAAAATTCTCACCTTCTTAGAGAAAGTTTAACTTTGCAAGAATGGCTGGGGCAGGTCAAGTCATCACTATGCTCGCCCTATGTGAGGCCTATGTCCCTATTCTGCGCAACTTCCATGCTGAGGCATCTTCTGAAGCTCTGATTGCTTATAAGATCTGGATCCCTGGGCAAGGAAATCTATACAGTCATGGCAGCCATGCCTCCAGATCTAATGCCTAGGCAATAGAAACAAGTTCCATGACATCCAGGCAAGGTGGTCAAATCCTGCTGGAAAATCTTGGGTGATCACAGAGCAGGAAGTTCAAGGGCAAAATGTAATCAGTGGGTCCTATGTAAGTGCCATGATAGTCCCACCCTTACCTCCCTTCACACTACACTAATTACTATCTTTGGAATAAAAGTCTGTATATAATGTCTGACCAAAGCAGCAAGAGAGCACTGGCGCAGGCAAATTCTGTCCCTCCCTGTGGTTTCATGTCCCTCCCTACCCCATGGGACTGTGCTGCTGCTATCACATCTGCCTACTTGGCCGATAAGCATTACTTCAGAGGCTCAGTGTCCCCAGATGGCAATGACCACCTACCCACTACAGTCCAGAGCAACTACCTGGGCAAACCTGAAGGCTCATGCCATGCTCAGAGAGAGTATTTCCTATCATCTGAATGCCAGACAGCCCAAACCTCTGACTAGACAGTCAGCAGGCAAGCTGAAACAGAGAGCTATTAGGGTCACCCCACCTAGGGTCTAAAGGCCACATACTTTACTGCCATCTTGACCATGAACCATCAAAAGAGATCCCTGCACATCTGTTAGGATGGCTAAAATTTTAAAAGTATGGATGTTACTGAATATTGGCAAGACTGTTTTTTAAAAACCCGATATCTCTCATACAATGCTGGTGGGAATGTAAAATGGTACAGCCACTCTTTTTAATAATGTGACAGTTTCTTATAAAGTCAAACATGTTCTTACCTTACTATCCCGCAGCCTCACTCATGAGTATTTATACAAATTTATGCTCACATAATAACCTGTACATGAATGCTTATGGCAGCTTTGTAACATCTAAAAACTGGAAACTAGACAAAAGTCCTTCAGTAAGTGAATGGATAACAAATTTTGGTACATCCACATCTTGGAATACTAACTGGGAGAAATCACAATAGCTTTTTACTGAGTGAAAGAAAGCCAATCTCAAAGGGTTCATACTGTATAGGATATTTTCAAAGCGACCAAACTGTAGTGATAGAGAACAGATCGGTGATTGCCAAAGGTCAGGGTCGGGGTCAGGGGAGGGCTGTGACCTTAAAGAGGTGACACAGGAACTTGTCCTGTGAAATAGTCTGTGTTCTGGCTATCCTTGTGCTTCTCCAATTTGTAGATGTAAAAACATTTCATAGAACCGTAGAGACACAGAGTGCCTGTAAAAGCTGCTGGAATCAGAAGCCCGGTACCTGAGTTTATAGGGTTGTGCCAATGTCCCCTTCTTGGTTTAAGCAATGGACTAAGTTTGTAAGACATCACTGAGGGAAACTGGATAAAGTATATACTATACTTATTATACTATTTTTGTACCTCCTTTGACTCTTTATAAAAAATATATTTAAAAGCAACATTCAAAAGTTTTGAAATTTTAAAAAAATAACTATTTAAAAAGTGGAGGATATTCCCCACTTTGCCACCTTCCGTGGTTAGGCCTCTGCAGCATCGTGGTGACTTTGGCCTCACCCTCTGCTGTTCCAAGACAGTTCACCTCTGAGGGAATCACAGCTTGGGCGTTGCAGTACTGAGTGTGAACGTGGCCCCTCTCTCTTCCCAGCAACCGTAACTTCAAAGCAAGGTAAAGACCCGGAGATCTAAGAAACAATCTTACAGTGAAAATCAAGGACAAATTGTCCTCACCTCTGCACAGTAATTTTGTCTCTAGAATGACTCTTTCTCTGCTCTGCTCTTCATACAGATTATTCTCTTCACCTTTGCCAAGTGGCCGGACTTTAATGGAGGGAGATTAACCCTTCCTTGCTCCCTTTCAGTCTCATTCATTGGAGGGCTTTCTTTTAACAACACCGCTCTCTCTGGGCCGTGTGCCACAGCTGAATGCTACAGAGACGGCTGGCTTCCCTTTGAAGCATTTGCACCTCTGTCAAACACCATTTTACCAGACTTGGCCCTGGAAATTCGGTTTTGATGTTTATCATGCACTGCCTGGATTTGCGCTATGAAATTGCACAAGGACATAGGCACATTAGTCAAGGGGGGCTCACAGCACTCACCACCTCCAGAGCCCCATCTAAATGAAACTAGTTACTCCCCGCTCTGCAGAGGGGTCCCCAGCATCACCTAGGAGGCTGAAGCTCTGTGGCCTCCTGTCAGATGTGACAATACAGTCACTACAAGCTACTTTTCCTCCAGAGCTGGTCTCAGCCCCCAGTTTTCTGCCATGCCTTATTTACTTGGGGATTCATTTTAAGAAACCAGTAAGAAGGACAGAGATCATTTCCAGGACCAGTAGTGAGTTGGCCATCAGGACAGTATGCTAGAAGCTGAATTGTTACATTTTCATACGTGTTGGTGAATCTCTTAGTTTTGTACCTTTTGGTTTCAAAACCATACTGAATCACGGAAAATGAAACTTGCAACTTATTTTTAGCTGTTCATGCTAACTCATGAGATGTTTCTTTGCAAACCAAACAGAATACAGGCAACTTTAGCTGGCTAAACTTAGTCTGATTGACTAAATATAGTAATCAAACCTGGTTCCCTGAAACTTCTTAAGTGATGCTGGTCCCAGGTGAGTTTTAGCCAATATTTACTATTTTGCTTAAAATTATTTCTAGTTGAGCTTTTTAAAAATTATGTATACTATTATTCTGAGCAGAATTGGTAAATACATTATAAACCCAGTACACTGGTATCTATTCATATTTGTCAATCTATTACCATTAAGTACCTAAATGAAAGTTCAGAATTTTTAAAAATATTTGGGCCAGTGTATGGACTTAAAAAGAGAATGTCAGAAATTTAGGAATATAGCTGCTATCCTGATCGCAGAGGTCTTTCAACCTTCCTTCTCCCTCAAAGACAGGATGTAGATGGCATTCTCTAAAGCATCATCCCCACCCCATAATTCTGTGACCAAGGGCCCAGGAAATGTTGAGGGACATTTGGAAGGCAGTGGTAGTGTTTTATCAAACCACTCTTATTTCCATGCCCCTTTCCCTGTTCAAGGAAGGACAGGTTTATACAAAGCACTGTGGTCTGCTCGCAGGTCAAATGTGGCTCCCCTTAGTAAACCAGTGATGGACCCCCAGAGCCATTCCTTACCTCACAGAGCAAGTTCTCCAGTTTTAGGAAGTGACTTCATGACTCAAAGCTGAAGATGACAGTGGTAGTGATAGAAGTAGAGAAAAGACTGCCGTGACTGGTGGTAGGAGCCAAGAGCAGACTCTCAACGAGCCCCTCCATTGCATGAGACAAAAACACCAGTGCCATGGGAAACAAAGGTAGATAATTCAACACAACAAAAACTTACTGTGCTTTTTTGTTTAGTCCAGAGGAAGTGAAGACTCACAGAGGTTTGTTAAACTGCTCTGGCTGAGAAGAAGTGAATGGTTGTGGCTTTTCTCAGCTGCAGAATTATTTATCTGAGAGAAGAGACAGCAAAAATAAATTTGTTCTTGGGCTGAGTCTGGGAATATTTGCTGCCCAAGGTGGAGAAAGATACAAGGAGAGAATTGTACTCTCAAATGAGATAGATTTTATGGAACCATAAAAATTCTTCCTTCACCTGCATTTACATCCCCACCTCCCTTTTCCAACCCAGTTGCCAATCCTTCTAGAAAGAAAAATCTCAGCTTTCTTGCTGAATATGTATTTTGCCAACCAAAGTCTAGAAGACCTGTGGTTTTACTTGTTTTCAGTTTGGTGCTTGGCAGTCATCATGACAGCAAATGAGCATGTGAGTAGGGATGGTGTAGGAATGCTCTTGGTCCCCGTAAGCTCTCCAGCTCATTTTTGATGCCATATTTCAAATGCATTGAGAAAGGCAAGCAGGAACTACAACATTCAGTTTCTCAAGCTGAAATGGTGACATCTATAATAGTGATACTTGAGGATATTCCCATGGGAGTACCTGAGTTGTCAACCACAGCCTCCCTTGCAGCCTGTCATTTATCACTTTTTCTTTGTTGAAAATCACATGATTTCCCTCTTCCAGTTCTTCTCCGCATGGTAAACCACAGTCTGGTCCCCAGTTCTTACCACCCTTTCCCAAATCTCTCACCGATGCTAATGGATGAAAGTGAGAGTGAGGTATAAGAACGGGGGAAGATTTTCTGGAGTGGAAACTCCTCGAGCTTGTCTGTTCACCCAACTCTTCAATCTACTGCCTCTTGAGTACTGAGCCCACAATAATCCCAGGAAGGGTAGAACTAGTTGATTAGAAAAATCCCCTTTAAGAGCCATCTGGCTGACATATAACATCACTGTCAATGAAGGGAGATAGTCAAGTAGCCACAAACACCAGCAGGAAGGATACTTGGAGTCTAGCTCTTGTCCCACCCAATCTAGCAAGCAAACTGCGCTGAATTTTTGACAATCATAAACTTACAGAGCTGGAAAGGAAAAACAAACAGAAGTGAACATGTACAGTCATTCACTAAAATAATGTACTTAAAACACCAGACTTGGTTAAGGAAAATCTCGTACCCAAAGTCGGGCTTTTAAAGCATTCACTTTGGGATAGGGTTTTGGCTCAGTGGTACAGCACTTACCTGTGCACCATCCTGGGTTCAATCCTCGGTTACTACAATAAGTCAATCAATAATCTATTTTTAAATTATTTGGGGAGAAGAAACTCACAATTCCCACTTAGACTATCTGTTCACAAGAAAACATACAGTTAATCAATTGAAACCAGGCTGATTTTAACTGTTACACTGATTTTTAATTTAATGGATAATTTAGAACAGGCAAGCAACTTAAAACAAATTTACTCACAAATGCTGAATAAATTAGGTATAGAAGGAAACAAGCTGTAATTTTTAATGCAGTGAGAAGGTAATCTCACTTTTCAAGGGTGTCATCTTCTTGTTTTTCTTTTTCTTTTTTTTTTTCTTACTGTTTTTATGAGACAAGGTCTCTCACCATGTAGTTCAGGCTGGCCTTGAACTCACTATGTAACTCAGGCTGGCCTCAAACTTGTGGTAATTCTCCTGCCTCAGCCTCTAGACAGCTGGGATCATAGATGTGCACCACCACACCTGGGTTAAGGTTGTGATCTTGGGCAGAGAACTAGATTTCTCTCAGCTTCAGTCTCCTCTTCTGTACTATGGAAAAAGTGGACTTCACTGGGTGAAATCTTGGCTTATGTGGAAATGTAAGCCTTTTCCTCTTACCTTGCCTCATAAAATATTTCCAAATTATGACAGATCTCCCTCCAAAATCATTAATGTGCTTTCTACCCTTAACTTCCTACGATAGCCTGAGTGATTCCTCCTCTTTTATTCTGTCTTTTCCTCCTGCTTGGCCTGGCTGGCCTTTCTCCAGTTGGTGGCATCCTAGGTATCCACAATTCCCAGTGCCTGGTTTATATAAAAAGTAGTGATCTTGGATCCAAGGAGCCAGGGTCTCCTGTTATAGGTGTCTACACAAATAGAAGATTACTGATGTTAGGAGTGGAGGGTGGATTTGGAGGATGTCTCATTACTTTAGGTTTGGTGAGAAGATAGAGACTTTGCGATCAGTTGCACTTAGACTTGAATCCCAGCTCTACTGTTTACTGTGTGACTAATAATCTTTATTAGTCCCTCACCTAAAAATGATTATAATTAATACCCACCTTATAGGATTATTGGGTTAGAATTAAATAATATTGAGCACATACCCACCTTGTAGTATTATTGGGTTAGAATTAAATAATATTCAGCATGTAGTCAGATCTCCAGGGATAATAGCTTTTACAGATTTTTAGCTCTGGTCAACATAGAAATGAAAAGTTTCTGCCCAGATATCTAGGCAAGATGTAGCTGTTTAAAGCATGGTTACTTTCCCAAAAATTTCAGCCAAAATAACATCCAAAGTCATTTGTAGTCATTGATAAATAATCATATTGTTTTTAGGACATACAAACAGATATAATAATCAATGTCATAAAAATATTCTAAGCTTTTTAAATTCTAAGAATTTAAATAAAAGTATCATATTTGACCAGCTGTATTAGGTGTAAAAGGAAACCAGCTGTAATTTTGAATGCAGTGAATGGCATAAAGAAATGTGCAGACAAACCCACATGTTTATAAACCAAGGATTCCTCTGGGACTCAGTGCTCTGGCTTTTTTTTTTTTTTTTTTTTTAATGTAGTAGAGCCAAGCTTTGTTCATGCTTGGATTATATACTTTGTATAAGCCATGCAATTTAACTTTAACCCACAGGACTGGAGATAAAATTAGCTTAGCCTACAGAACGAGAAGACCATGAGCAAGTAAGAATGTTCATCAAAATGAAAGATTCGACCCTCACTGCTGTCTAGTGCTGTCCTTTAGCTTGCTCTTGCCAGATGATTTTGGGTACCTTGTGTTTGACTGGTCAAAATGGGAGAAATAGGCTAAAATTCTCATTGTGGGAAATGAATTTGTCTTTGAAGTTGATGTCTGTATGTGTACCCTGCAGAAACTGAGGCACACACAACTTTTAAAAATCATGAGTGAGCACATATATTTGCCACTTGTAATCATGACAAAGTTTAAGTCATTCAGGCGTGAGTATTCTTTTTTTCAAATACAAAACAGGATTTTCTAGCTGAGATCATCTGCCTAAACAAGATCGTTCCTCTGAATATTTTCCAGCTATATTTCATATTTGTTTAACCCAAACAGGCTTGGTAAACACATCACATTTGCTCATAAGTGCTCTGGAACATCACAAAATAAACCAATGCATGGTTCCCATCTCATTTTGATGGAAGGTACAAAGAACCCCATGTGGGGAGATTGGACACTCTTTGCCCTGGCACCTGTTTGCTAGCACCAGTAGGGGACCTGACCACATCCTTCTCTATATCACACTATTCAGTCATCTCCAGGGAACCCAATATAGATTACTGTTATCATCACTGTCATTTTTTATCCCAGACAGAGGAGGCAATGACTTAGTTCTATGTGGTCAGAGGTGGTTCCATATTATATATTATAATAATATAATAATTATAGTATAATATATTCCATATTATATATATGATTCCATATTCTATATATATATTTTTTGCCTACATAATAATAATTTGTGAATATTTAACATGAATGCCTAGCTTTCAGATGTCATTAATGGGGACTTGCTCAACTGATATTGAATGTCAAATACCTAGATGTTTGGGCCAGGGGCTTAGCTCAGTGGTTCTGCCACCGCCTCATGAGTGCAAGGTCCTGAGTTCAATCTCTCATACCAAAAAAAAAAAAAAAATTAGATGTTTGCTTCAACCTCCTCCAACCCCATTTGAAGGACCTTGCTTTATACATAAGCGACTGCATATGCTCAACCCCCATAGTAAAGGAGGAATTGGCCTAAGGACACACCATTCTAATTTTCTGTCACTGTCAATGTTAACCAGAGTCCATAGAGCAATGGTTTGGGGGTGGGGAAGATGGCTCCACCATTGGTGTTAGAACAGGAGCTACTGTTTTCTTCAGAACCACATTTATTCCTGAGTAGCTGTGAGGGAGAGATGTGCTCCACAGAGAAAAGGACTTGCTATGAACCAGGTATGACCCATGATCTGGACAACTCAACTCAGTGACTGCAGTGCCCAGGTCAGAGGTAGGCAGGGTACTTTCCGCACATTCAGCGAAAAATCACTTCTGTTCTGTGAAAGGAGATGAAATGTGAGCTACAAACAAAAGATCCAGTGGTGAAACCTAGTACATATGTTAAGATTGCTCAAATATATTTTCTCCCTTAAAATTTTTCTGGAGAATTTAAAAATTTTGCTAACTTGATTATTTCCAGCCATTTTATAGAAGGTAGAGGCACTGGAAAACTAGAAATCCCAGAAAATATTAATTAATTTTTGCGTGTGTTAAAATTAATAGCCATTAGCATAGTCAGTGATGCGATAGGCAATTCAAGACTTTGGGAGGAATAAGAAGTCAAAAATGTAAATGTTTTATACGCAAATCAGTCTCATTTTATAAAAGTGTTGGCTTATATCCAGGTTGTAAGGATGGGGTGGTATGATTTCTTTGTAGATAAAAAAAAAATAGTAGAAGGAAAAAGAATTTCTTCTATTTCCTTAAAATAAATAACTTCTTATTTTATAAAGCATGGTAAATGAAATGCTTTTGATACTGGCTTGTATTTGCCAGTAGTATCTGGAGAAAATTTTTCTAGCAAGCTACACTGTTTTCTTCTTTGGGGACATGGTGATACTGGTTTTGTAGCAAAATAGTATTTGCTTATTAGGCATTTCTTTAAAATCCTGAATAAGCAGCTCTTTCAACAGTTTTTGTTCCACACGTTAAACATTTCATTGCAATTTAAGCTTCAGTTTAGTGTGTGTGTGTGTGTGTGTGTGTGTGTGTCTGTGTGTGTGTGTGTGTGTGTTGACAGGAATGAAAGGGGTGTGTATAAGAATTCTTAAAGGTTTTTTATTTTAAAAATTAATTCCCCACAATTATGTATTAGAGTCTCTGCAGAAAGTGATTCCTATTTAGTACATACGGCCAAGCTAGATCCCATCAATCTTGAGCCGTGGGGGTAGGGAAATGGTATTGAAGAAGACATGAAATTTGGTGTTTGAGTAGATGAGATTTAATTTTCGGGAAACATTTCACTCTTAAAATGGATAGCAACCCAGTGTCAGCCCTGACCTCCTGATGTCAATGTCATCGTGCAAGCATAGCTAAAATAAGCCTCAAAGTAAAACAAAGAAACATTGCCTCCCAGCACAACACGATTTCTTCTCCTACAGTACGTTCTGTCTATAGCCTCTTGCTATTCCTATAAATGGATTGTTACCTTTAAATTTAACCTTTGAAGGGGGAGGGAGAAGAAAATTCATTTTGCATTTTTTTCCATGTTCTGTACATGTACAGTATGCTGCTTTAAATCTGAGTATTATTTAGGTCAGCAGCCTAAAGATAGCTTTTTTGTTCATGACAGCTATTTATCCAAAAGAACTCAGCATCAGTCTGTTTTTCTGCACTAATTTTATTCTGCCCCTAATTTTAAGAAATTCCATTCATAATCTTAATACGATTCTGTCTGAGGCGGTATCTGCATTCTGTACTGCAGATACATTTAGCAGGATACATTTACGCTGCTTGTGGTTAAAGGTTATAGAACGGATACAGACAGCTGAGCATGCATTCTTCTACAAGCCTCTTGGCACCATTTAGGATTTTGAAAAATAATCTAGAAAGGCTATACCCTTTATCAGAATTACTCTTTATTTTGCAATAGCTAACAGTTTTGATTTTTGTTGTTAGCAATTCTATGAAATTAACAGTCTATAAAAATGCATCCCGGACCAGATACATACTGTATTGAAAGCTTTCTTCAAGAAGAGGATATGACAGTATTCAGACTGCAGCATATTTTCTTCCTTAGCAAAAGGACTGTATCTCGGAAGCAGGAGGACACATTCATTGTGCAGCAGCTCTGCTCAAGTGTATGAAATGCGTTCTACTGTCTGGTTGCAGAATTTGGAGTTTGCTAAGCAGTGTTTAGTGATTGGGCTCATCTTGCATCACCAGTTGATGACATTTTTCTTTGTTCCCTCCTACCCAGTTGAACCAAGACTCTGAGGCTGATATGCAATGTCACTTACAACATTAATCAGATACTGCATTTAAGGTGAGCTGTCCCTTGCCTCCTCCTTTCCTGGTGCTCGTGTGCTGCATGCATTGCGTATCTTGCTTCTGTGAGCCTAAGATGGCAGGCAGGATTAGCCGTGCTTGTGCTGTGTGTGCATGCTGTGTATAGAATTCATTACACGTTGCCTAGTATTTCAGATGTGAGTATGTAAATGCTCTGTATGCCATATCATCCGGTAGCGAAGACTTGTTTTTGCCTCATTACAGCCATAGATATTTCAACATTACCTTTCATTTCCGATTCATTTGCTTCTGGGTGTTTGCTTTTCATCACATTCAAAATGCGATTTTACTTTTTTTTTTAAACAAAGCCCAATAAGCCCCACAAAACCCTAAAACCAAAAACAACAACAAAACTCTGCTACCAGATGGTGTCTCCCCTTTCTTCCTGCATTTGCTGTCTTTTAAATAATGTATGTTGTATTGTTAATTAATGTGAATATCAAATTAAACACTTGAAACTTACGTGTTTACTATGCAGGTGGGAGGCAAGGTGGAATCTATTTTTAATTCTTATGCACTCCATCATGTGCAAGCAACTTCAGTTCTCAAATTTGTATTTTCACTGCTGGTATCAGTGGTTTGATTTTCAGCAAATGTGACAGTGGCCTTTGCAGTGGTCAGCTCTGAGCTTTGAACTCTCAGAGGAGCAAGGGAAAAAAATTCAACACACAGCTTCAGAAAAACCTTGGATGAGAAACTTCTTTTTTCAATCCTGTTTTCCTATTGATAAATTCAGTTCTTGGGATCACAGTGCATTCAAGCTGTTCTGCGTATGATTTTTGGTGTGTGTGACAATTGCATCTAAAACTTGTGAGCAAGAAGACGGAGAAATCAGTTTGTCTCCATCGCCTTACATAAAAATGGCTGTCTTGTCATGCTAGCATTGCATTGAGTGATACATACAGGTAGGTTGAAATTTGCATGCTTTATAGATTTTTTAAAGCCATGTAGTAAGAGCATTAGATGGATTAAAATGTGAGCTTTTAAATAGAAAATAAGATACTTGTAGTCTTTGGGGGTATTAAATTGGATAGCCTTTCCTATTCAGATACTATACAAATATATAGCTTTTATAAACTTATAAAATGATTCTGCTTTAAGAGTATGATGATTCCTTTTTGTAAAAATCAGTTATATGATAGGTGTGGCGCCATTAGACAACAAAAGAATTTTTTGAAAAGTCTGATGATTCAGCTTTATTTTAGCTTGAAACTAAAAATAAATGAGTTTCTAGAGGTAATTTCAAATAATCTTAATAAGAAATATTTAAAATATTTAAATTTTAAGAAGCGGTCTTTTACCGTTATAAGAAAGATGAAAATAAAAACTTATATGCTTCCAAAATCAATCTCAGGTAATATACAGGGGTAAATACATTATTGGTATATATATATACATATGTAATTTGGGGGAGATGAGGAGTTACTATTTTTAAAGGGGGAAACATTAAACATAAATGGCCCTGTTAGAAAAATAGAGCTTCAATAAATGAAATGAAGCACCTCAAATGGTTCATTGCAGACCATACAGTTGTGGTTCTGTAAGTTCCAAATTCTGACATTTTTCATAATAATTTCCTGAGCTCTTTCCTTTGAACTTAACTTCTCAAATGTATTTTAGTTTAAAATTAACACTGGGCCAGAACCTGTTTCCTTGGTAACCAAGCCGTATTTTAAAATGCAATAATAACAGATATGCAAAAGAATATCTTTAAGAAGAATACAAATGTTTATTGAAAAATCTGCAGTTCTGTTTCCTCTCATATAGATTCTGAACAGTTTTAGACGTTTTAAAAATGCGGTCTTCAAGCCTTAAAAATTAAGCCATATTTCTAAATATATAAAGAAAGCTTGCAGAGGAACAGCTTTTTTCTCCCTCTGTGCTCAGTACTTTCAAAATTAAGGTTTTCTTTTAATTGCTCCAGAATGCAGGTCAAGGTTTGGGTTCAGAAGTGTAGTTTCATTATCACGAGCTCATCAGCGCCTCTGAAAGAAAAGATATTTTAGAAATTCTGAGAATTAGAAAATGATTATGCTCCTGTTTTCCCCCATCCTTCCATTGGTAACCTCTGAGCTCTAGGTAGAAATAGACCCAAACCCAAGCCTGCCCCCCCAATGACAAGTACACATTGAGCTTGTACAGTAGGGTCTTTGTAGTTGTGTTAGAGGAAGATGTTACTAAACCTAAAACCTCCCAGAGCTTTGCTACAATGTGAAGAACACTGAGGTTGAGAACCATCTGTATAAATAGTTGCTTTATTCTAGCAGTTTTTCTAATATTCTACAGCACTGTCTGTACAATCAAACCTTTTATATGCCAGAAGGGTGATTGTTGTTGTCATTGGTGTATTGTTTTGAGGCCAACTACAGTATTTTTGCTTGGAATCTTTCTCTGACTCAATTATATTAGAACATGATTCATCTCATAGTGATTTTGTGCTCAGGGCTTGCCGTGAAACATTCATCCTGCAACGTCTTTATTTATTTATTTATTTGGACTGTTCGGGAGCCATTTTCCTTCTTTCCTATGACTTAAAATGACTAAATATATTTTGAATGCAGTGTCCATCAGATTGTAAACTGAAGGGAAATGTGGGAAACCTGTTTCAGTATTGCCATTTATTTTAGTAGCATTAGCACCAACAGTTGCAATAGGATCAGGCTAATTGTCATTCGCTCTTGAGCAAATAGGTCTGCATTTGTAATTAAAACACTATTGCTATTCAGAAAGATTACTACCACAGTGTCTTCTGTTTTAATAGGCCAGGGCAAATTAATCATTTTTAACCCATTTGAATCTTAATTATAAAATTGGAAGAATACAATGCAATTTTTTACCATAAAAAATGAATATCTGATAGATTTCAACATTCATAGAATATCAATCCTTTTGTTTTTTAACTCAAGCACAGTTAGGTCTTGTAAATTTTCATACCTAATGATTTTTTTAATGGCATTGTTTATTTATGTTGTTCTTAGTTGTGCCTAAGAGACTTTTTAAATATGATTTAAGGTACCAGAAAGCCAAATAAGACAATAAGACTGTGGGGAAGTGTATTGTGCCTTTGTCATTCTAATAAATAGATCAGTGAATGGAAGCATAATTATTATTTATTACTTTATTATGTTTCGCCTAATGCTTTGCCTTCATATTTCGCAGTAATGTTTATAAGGCACAAAGCTTTTCTAAACTTATCCATTTACAATTATTATTGGATTTCCTAGATTAGCTGAAAATGTTTCCTGACAACTGAGGATGGCACTTACCCCTCTCATTGTTTAAAAGACTGTGATTAACTTATTTGCACTTTTTGGCTAAGGTGTTTATACTGGGCAGGCTAGAGCAGGTGCTACAGGAAGAAACTGCAAACAACTGCTTTGTTCTCACCAAATGAAATGAGCCAATGTGTGGTTTTCTGCCTGAATGATTTACAGTATAAAATTCTCAACTCTTCCCCCCCACTTTGGAAGATATGAAATGCTTTTCCTAGCTTTAATTCAGTGAGAATGCAAGATTGCATCTCTTGCTTCTACAGTGATGTGATCTACTTCAGCCATTTCAGTGGATTCCCCTGTCAGATCATGACTTAGAGCCTCTTTACTGCATAGGATGTGAGAAATATCTAGAAAAGGATCACACCTTCCTCTTTAGTACTAAATCATGCTAAGTCTTTGAATTCCTGATAACCACATGACTCATTACATACAGTTCCAAGGGGAACACTATTCTTAACATCTTTCTTGGTAATTAAACATTCAGCACACTTACTAAGCGCCTACTATCTACAGTCACATTCCAGAAACTAGAAATACAATAATGAACAAGATAGTCCCAAGCATGCTTCTCATGGGCCTGACTATAGTATGTATAGCAGAGCAGGCAATGGGGGAAGGAGGTAAAAATAAATATGCAAACAAATAGCTAAAGAAGACAGGTGCAAAGAAGAAAAAGAAAAACAAAAAGAAAGGGTGATGGATTGTGAGGAAGAGAGCCACTTTAGAATGGGTGGTCGGAGAAAACCTTCTTGGGGCAATGGTGCTTGACAGGAGATGAGTGAGAAGGATCCAGCCAGGTGAAGACCTGACAGAGGCCTCCCCCAGTGGAGTGCTTAGGCTCAAGCTGCAAAATTCCCCTTCACAGTATACGTGTCACTCTTTCAAAGCCAGGTCTGCCAACTTCTCAGTTGAGTCTCCAGCAGTGATAGCATGGCCCAGGCCCGCTGGGAGTCTGGTACCAATGAAGTTACTACCTTTGTCCCAGTCACCACTCTGAAACTACCTCAGAAGTTGCAGTGGAAGTTGGGACATTGCAGTCCTAGGTGGTGATGAAATCCAGGCACAGATTCAGTGCCAACCCAAGAAAGGCCTCTCAGAGCAAGGAAATTTCTGGGAAGCTTTTTCCTTTGTTTTTCCTAAGAACTCCAGAATTTAAGCTCATAACAAAATGTTGAGGTAGCTATTAATTTTTTTTTCAAAGGCACAGTGGCTAAAGGGTCTGTCTTATCTTACCAAGAGGTTGCCTGGGTGGGTGGTCTGCTGGGGATTAAGTCCAAGGCCTTTCCATTGAGCTACATCCCCAGCCCTTGTCACTGCTTATTTTGAGACAGGGTCTTGATGAGTCCTTAAGATGCCCAAGGTGGGCTTTAGCTTGCAATCCTCCTGCCTCCATCTCTCAGTGTTCGGATTGCAGGTGTGCGCCACCACATCAAGCCAACAGGTTATCTTTGTTATAGACAATTCATGAAGATGTTTCAGATTTCAGTAAAACGTTTCAGCTCTGCAGACATCTTTCCTGTTTTTTATTTTATTTTATTTTTTTTAAGGTCTTATTGCTCAGGGTGATTTTTCTCTGTCATAGCAAATAGTGCTAAGAAGACTCTTTAGAGCCTTTCAGGTTAGTCTCCTGATGAAACCCAGAGAACAAGGAATGTGTTTGCCCTACAACTTAGAAATTACAAGGTTCTTCAGAGCCTTCTGCACATTCCAGAAGCACTTCCTAAAACTGATTCGTAATTTAGCATACTTTGCTCAGCGCAGTGAAGGTGGCCTGGCTGGCTCCTTATACTTCATTTGGGTTTTTGAGACACATCTCACTACATGAAACCAAATTTCTTCTGGTCCTGTGCAGAAGAGTATTGCCCATCGTGGGGGAGGGGACTTCAACAATTCAGCTCGCTTCTTGGAGCATTTACTGTATGACAGACACAACTTTAAACCAGGCAGAATAGAATATGACATGGCCCCTATGGAACTCTGTCCAGGTTCCCACATGAAGCCAGAGCATGATCTACACAGACACAGTTGTGTATCCTCTCTGGTGTATAAAGAAATGAATGGCATGCTGTTCTCTTAGTGGCCTTGTTCCTGTTCCCTGGAGTCCAGCCTTTGGTTTTGGGACAGCTCAGCTGATGGCAAGGACAATTCTTTATTTGGACTTTGTCTCTTGCTCTTATCACCTTCCCAAGATGTCTTGGCTCCTAATAAGCTACCATATGTCTGGCTGCCCTTCTCCAAGCTGGTCTGCCTGCATGCCAGGTGACCTCGGTAACCGTTGCCACTTTTGCATTCATGAGCAGATGCTAAGTTGAGAAGCCCTTGAATACAAAAATTTGAATTTGTGATGCCAACAAGATGCTTTTGCTTTTTTACCTTCCCTGGCTGTCAGTGGGGGTCTCCTGGCTGACTATTCTGTAGAAAGCTTTCTAGGCTGCAGGTAAATCAGAGACCAGTTGCCGAATCACTTGTCTTTGTTAGGTGATCCCAGCATGCCACTGACCAGAAAATTGCTCTTCTGATCTTTCAACTGATTTTGCATTTTTTCTTTAATGGCTTCCTCGCTTCTGTGGATATTTCTTCTTGAGACCAGCACTTGTGTCTACACTCACTGTTCAGCCTACAGAGGGAGTTTGTTTTCTGGTCTGGCTTTGTTTTTAAAATGCCAGTTTAAATATTCCTTCTGCATTCATGAAAGTCAGTAGAGGCTTTCATTATTTGCTTTACACAATAAAATAACCCCCTTCCTTACCCCAGAGTCATTGCTACCAACTGGTTATTTTGAAATTTCCTTTTGCATACTAAAATCTCCTACCCAGTCTGAGGCCTTGCTCTAATTAAGGCCTCATGGTCCTGCCCACCTTCCCCAGTGCAGAGCATGACGCAGAGTGCCTGCCCTGAGGGCCTTACAAACCAGTGAGACAGAAAACAAAAGCCACCAGCTGAGAATGTGGTTAAATCTCAGAAGGGCAGGGCCCTCGTAATTTTTTCCCCTTTTTTCTAGTTTCTTGAGCTGAGAAAGGGAAAAGGAAGCAAAGGGAGGAACTATACCCGGAAAAGATTCTCTAAGTAGGCAGGATATTGGGGAAACCATGTGGAAGAAAATGGGGAGATGCTGCATACTGGAAAGGGTGGCAAGGGGGTGGGGGGGTGCGGAAGATAGGAAAGAGGGAACAAAGGGGCAGTCAGGAGGCAGCTGGGGTGAACAAAAGGAGATGCTGCTTTGCTGGACCCCGTAGCCAGAAGTGCAGGGTGCAAGGGACAAAGTGGACAGGGATTGCAATTAGAAAAGAAGACTGGGAGAACGCCTAAATGCAGGCTGCAGGCTGGCTGAGAAAGGCTGGGTGCTACATGTGATGTTCCATCTGGCTTCAGTCAGAATGTTGGTCTTGTGGCTTAATTGCCTATTGTGCATCGCCTACTGATTGATGTCCTCAAAGGTGATTTATCCAGAGCCTTACAAAGTTTCCAGTTCCATTTCAAGGCTCTGTTCTACATGCTGAGAATGCCAAAACACCCCTCCCCGCCTCTGCCCATTTAGGAGTTGTTCTATTCAATCTGAATTAAACTTTAAATAAATTAAGCAGACCATTTATGTGTGCTGTGACCAAGCTTTTGGTCTTCTACAAAGCACTGACTGAAGATCTATCCAAAATATTTCCTGTAAGCAGATTTGAGAAACTTCTTT